TTATAACGATTTCACAAACTCGTGTCTACAGTTTTCTGACTCTTAAAACTGTCTGCTCCTGGTTATTTTGGCATAAATAACGATAGTCAAGTGTAGTATTTTTTGGATTGAATTAGTTTTTTATGCGCCACACTCAGACTAACATATTCTCATAACTGGCTTACATGACGTCACTCATGCTTCTACAGTATTATTAGTAAGATACTTTTGTATGACGTCATAAACGGGTGGTGCAAGTTTAACCACAATTTACGTGTTCTTACTGTATTGTTTCCTTGTAATGTAATAGTGATTTATAACTGCCGGATTAAACTGATAATGGTCTGCAGTGTTTATTATTAGCTTCTTATCAAAGCATTCTACTGAATTAAAAACCAATCCAGTAATGAATATAGCTAATTAAAATATACTGTTCTAACCTATAGTTATTAGAATGCATTGTTTCATCAATTGGGTACTTTAAGCGACATTTTCGACCATAATCCCAATAATACCTCACAACGTTCGACCAGCTTAAGATATTTAGGTTAGTCCTAAACCTATATTCTAAGCTAATAAAGCAAAATAATCCTTATGATAAAATATGCATAGTATACATTCTTGCATATTTTACTTTAGAGTGTCATAGGTCTTTAAGTATCTACAAATGTACAACAACACTTGGTGAAAATGTATTGAAAATTAGAAGAAAATGAAAATTAGGTAAAAAATTTGGTAAAATATTGTTCATGTTAAAGATAAAAAGTACATAAAAAATCCACAAAAGACATTACAGACATTGGTGTGACTATTGAACTTTTCCAACGTTTACTTATACGATACTCAAGCTAAAGGTCACGTAGCGGTAATCCAAGGCACAGGCCCTGTCCCTAATTTATAACTATTGCTTAAAGGTAGGAAAACCAATAATTAAAAATAGCAGGATTGACTGCGACGTTCATAATGGATCCACAACTAATTTTGTGGATGGTGTTCAGCGGAATTTTGAGCATTCGAACACTGAATTTCCAAAATCTCTGTATGTTAACCGTTAGGCCACGCCTGGCCTTAGAGAGGTTTGTTTGTTATGGATTTCGCGCAAAGCTACACGAGGGCTATCTGCGCTAGCAGTCCCTAATTTAGCACTATAAAACAAGAGGGAAGGAAGCTA